GGGCATGTTTCGAACCTTAGGAGAGAAATCCAGCTATAGACATATTTGTTATTCCTTGACTCCTAACTGGTCCCATGACTCCTCTGGTGATGGAAAGCTTTGAAATGGCTGAGGTGACTCAAGGATGCATAAAATGAGAAGGTGGAGGTGGGACAACAGTAGTTCTAGCACTTGAAGGAGGTGGGGAGGACTGCCTAGGCAACCCAGAGGGGCAATTAGGGAGGGTTCAGACGGAGGTGGCCAGTGCAAGGGCCAGAGGTCACCCGTCATGAATGTCTCGGGAAGGCTGCCCCAGCCTCTGAGCTGGGTAACACAACCTTGCCCTTGGCTGGAGAAGAAACCAGAGCCCCTTCCAGCTCAGCGTCCACCCGAAAGTCCGGACTACCTAGTCCCATGGTTGGGGGTATGAGACATATGAGGGATGGCCCCCCTTTGAGCTTCACACCATAGACATGCGTTTTATGCTCTGAGTGTAGGGACTGCATAAAAGGGAGTTTCTTGATATACTGTCTTCTTCTGTTGCTAGAGTACATAGAATAATTACAGCAGTACATGCATATTTATTGCAGCACTATTCACAATAGCAAAAACATGGAATCAACTGTGCTACCCATCGAAACTGGACTGGATAAAAAAAAGTGGTACATATTCACAATGGAATATTGCACAGCCATAAAGAAGGACTAATATATGGATTTTGCAGCAACTTGGATGGATTTAGAGTCAACAATACTCAGTAATCTATCACAGAAACAAAGAACAGGGTACCACATGTTTTCTCTCATAAGTGGACCTTGAACATTTACCATACTACTATAAGAAAGGGATTGGCAGTAGTGGGAAACTGCCTGGGTGAGGGTCGAGGGGAACACAACATCAATAAGGGTACCTGATCTCAAACCAGACAAAGTGGGGTCCAAAGGAAGGACCAGACTTTACCTGTATGATGTCCACTTGTATACCTAATCCTGAATTGTACCTCACATCTTTTAAAAAAAAAAAAATAGAGCAGGGCAGAGTTGTGAGAGTCAGATGAACAGGTGTTAGTATGTAGGCCTGAGCCCACCAAGCATGGGTGATGGCTGTCACCAAAGTGATGGTTGCTTCTCTTTCTGTCTGTCTCTTCTTTCTCTCTTAATAGAGAATTTGTGCCTTGCAGAATTAAACTGTACTGTTTTAGATTTCAAGTTTTTTCTATGGCAGATTTCCACAAAGAAAAAAATGTAATTATTGATTGAGTTGTGCTGTTAGAATTAGAATTAGATTTATAACAAGTAGGAAGCCTGTTTGATCAACTTGCAAACCACAAAGCCACACATTGAATTTGTCATGCCCTTGTTGAGTCTGCCCTCTGTTTCAGATTAATTAGATTTTTGGATAACTGTGCTGAACTTGGCCACATCCTTATTACAGTTGTTTAAGGATTTTGAAGAACGTTTCGGAGGGACTCAGAAACAAATCTGAGTCTGGTACTGAGATTCCATTAGCCATCGCAAAACTGATGAATCTCTCACTCAGCTGGCTTATTGATTACCTGCATGTAAAGGATTATGCAAGGGTTCGCATCAGAAGGCACTTTGTGTAGCTGCTGCTGACATGTTCAGATTGAGCGCAGTATTTGAATTCTTTTAAGGACTGGTACACTTCTACTGAGACAGGAAGTGCCACGTTGACTATTGTTTCCATGTTGGGAGGGTCACTTTTAAATTTCTCAACTGATCATGATTCATTTTACAAAGCGCCTTCTCTGGTTCTGCTGCTGCAGTTTTAATTGTTGAGCTTCACAGTAACCCTATGCAATACTCAGGGTAGATATTTTTACTCTCATTTGGGGGAAAGTAACATTCAGTAAGGTTAAATGACTTCCTGAAGGCTACTCAAATTAATGCATGGCAGAATCAGAATTCAGCCCCATGTAATCGGTATGTATTTGAAGGACACCTACAATATGCAGAGCTTCGTGTCAGGCGTGATAAAAGCCAGAACAGGCGTGTGGAGGTGAAGATAAAGGGGTCATTAGGTAACTTCACATCGTGGCCTCACTGTGTTGTGGTGTCACTGTGTTACCCTCTGTCCAAGCCATATAGAGTATCCTGGTGTACAGGCTTTCGGGTTTGGCTTTGCATGTTTGCTTTTTCCTTTTGTTTTTGGCTAGCAGAAGTCTTGTCCCGGCCATCACTGCTGTCTTTTTCACCATTTGGGCAGGACTGGAAATAATCCCTTTAGAGAAAGCGCCTTTGGAGGAGACGCTGGGGAAGGCCCACTCCTGGCAGCCTGCTTGCAGTTTGCTCACCATCGCCTTATCTGTTCTCCCCAGCTGTCCCCTGCGCACCCGTCTTCATTTATGAGCCGGTGAGTGAGGCATGAGGAGCATCTCCTCACTGAGGCAAGTGTGGGGAGCAGCTGTGAGGAGACTCCCGGGCTTGAGCCTCGATACCTCCACAGGTTTTGGTTGTCTCACTGGACAGCATGGTCTGGTGGCCTGTCAGGACTGCTCTGTGCCAGGAGACCCTGTGCTGTATAGCTGTCCCATGGGGATCTCCTGGTCAAGGCCTGAGCTGGGCCTGGCGCCTCCTTAGTGGCCGTCTGGCCCTCCCCAGCCAGCTCCTCCAGGCAGTGTGAGAACGGACCCACATCACGGGTCGATGACCACCTCCACGGCATTTCCTTGGGGATGAAGGACTTTGCTACGTGGAGTGCAGGATTTTCTGTCAATACTAACGCAAACACACCCTGTATTTCAGCAGGATGAAACAGACTTGGAGTTGGAAGAAATGTAAAAGACAAAACACAGACCTTAGCCTCTTGCTTTAGAGGAACTGAAGTGGTGTACTGAGTATCATCACCATGAGTGTGTCAGTCATTGCTCAGAGAGGTGTTTACAGGTTGCTTAATTCTCACAATGATTATAAAAGTATGTATAGTTTACCAGTTGATTTGGCACAGACCTAAAATAAAAGGGTAACTTTTTATTTATTTATCTTATGAGGCAAATAAATAAAGCTGGAAAACAGGTCAATTTCATGCATGCAAGGTTTTATAGTAGAAAAAAATGCATTGTACCTGTTCTGACCCTTTACATTTGAGGTTATTTGTTTTGGAATTTGACCCCAAGCACCAGCTTCAGACTCTCTATAATTAATTTGTTAGATAAAGCATAAGGATATTTTATTTGTCTTGATTTCTTGAACTATGGTGAAGTAGTAACTGAAATTACTAGCCTATTGTACATAGCAGTTAATTAAAGAAAAGCATTAACTAGAGGAGAACACCACCACTGCTGTTGTCTTGTATCAGCTCAAAGAGGAAGTAATTTTTTTGACAGCCACTGATTGGAAAGTCGCTTGCAGCCTTCCAGAAGCAAGGGGTACATGCTGTGGATCAATAACCGGCAAATTTCCCATTAAAAAGAATACCTGAGCAATGTTCCAAATAGCCACTGGCATCTTAATTTTCCATGGAAACCTCAAATACTTGTGTGCTGAGGACAAGTCATTTTCGGACAATTTTTCCAGACTACTTGTTAACAGTTATTGCTGTCCCAAAAGGTTGACAGCCTACATGATTGATATTTCATTTACTTGTCATCACTGTTTGAGTAATGGCGAGTGCTGTATTTCTGTGGTTTTCAGGAACAGAATTTCCTGAAATACATTCGCCTGGGTGTGTATTCAGAGTGTGTTGCACATACTTATGTGTATGTGTGTAAGTTTGTAGGTTCACAGGAGGACAGGATCACTCTCCTTTACAGTTTGAAGCCTTTGGAGAGCAGGGTACACTTACATCGGCCTCAGCTATCAACAATCCATTGCCACTTCATTAGGGCTAAGGGCCTCAGACTCGTTGACTGGTGCTTTCCAAGATGATGTGGAATTTTTACCTCCCCTTTATTTCTAAGGGGGAAAACAACTTGACCTGGTAAGAATTTTAATGAAAGGAGTAGAAAGATGTGTGTGATGTTTTCTAAAAAGAAACTTTTAGAAATAATGGTAACAAAGGAGTTTCCTGAAAATGATACTTGGATCATATGCATGCGTTGTTAATAGAGAAATGGCAAGGATGAAAGGGGAGTCCTGCTCTCTGAAGCCCCATAAGACACAGAATCACTGCAATTTTTCCACCAGGAACATCCCTTTGTTATTTATCAAGCACTGTGAGAGGTGACAGAGCTGTTGCAAGTCAGGTGGACGTGAGCTCCCCGGTGAGCGTGAAGGCAGGTGGGACCAGACCACCATTTAGCCCGCACAGCAATTTGTGCTTATGAAGGAGTAGGACGCATTCACTTAGAACTTTATTTCTTGTGCCCAGAGTTTTACAGTGAAATTTGACCTGTATCTCAGTGTTTATAAGGCTAAAGTGTAAACGGTGTATTTGCTTCAAATGAGGCATCCTTTTCATCATAGTAATCCTGGCGTTTTTGGATGGGCCATCTCTTGTTTGCCAGATCCACGTTCTCTGTCATTTAGAGTCTCATCAACTGTGCATTTTATACACAAATGTGAACATCGTTTGATTAACTGGCATGTAGGTCAAAGCCAAATGTGAAGCTGCAGTTTGCTTTGCAAAATCCAGGGAAAAAGAGCAAGAGGCAGTTTGAGAAATTTCCACTAATATGCCTTACGTGTCATTTTAAATGCACATCATTCAAAATTTTTCTTTTTTTTTTTTTTTTTTTAGAAAGCAGGATTTATTGAGAAGCTTCCACAGTGGGAGGGGACCCGAAGGGGTTGCCCTCAAAATATTTCTTAAATCAGATACTAATATAAAATCTCGGTCAACACTTTTAAAGGTAAACAGCTTGTGTGGAGGCTAATGTTATACTGGACTTTCAATCCTGAATATTCACTGTTGTCATTTCGGGTGTAGATAGGGAAAACTATTCTCAAGACTGATGTGTACATACCCGCAGTTTACAAAAGCATATGAATTAAACAGCCCATAAGTGTCTGCTCCAGTATTCATACATTACTGAGTAATCTCTTTCTATAATCTCTTTGCAGTATTATTCCACAGTAATGGAACAGCAAGTAAATGGACAGATAATAGAGCCTCTGCAGATATTTCCAAGAGGTAATGTTGGGCAAATTCTAATCAACAATGATTATTTCAGTGCACTATTTCATCAACAGTTATGTTTTCCAAAGGTTTAAATGCACATAGCATGATGTTTAGCTCTTAATTTGAAAAAACAAAAGAAGTATTCATTATCGTGGGGATTGCAGGCTATAATATAGTTATGGCAGATAAAATATCTAATTTACTAGAGTAAATTAAACTAACGAGATTGTTTTTGGTTTTTGAAGTACATACTTACATTAGCTTAAAGAACTCTTTGGGGATCCACGTGGTTTCTAAACCACAGCCAATGAATGCCTTTCACTCTGGATGTGTATGGATTGTGGTTCCTGGTGGTGGCCAGAGTGCTCTTGGGGAGAAAGCCATCAGCTGGCTCAGAGGCGAGACTTATGGAGGGTGTTAGCAGAGTCATTTTGGTAGAATGCTTAGTGCGTGTTTTTTCCTCAGAAAATTCTCATAAATGGAAATTTGATTGCCTTTAAAAATAGGAGCTGATGAGGGAGAGTCTTGGTGAGCCACCTGGTCAGAAGGCTCTTCCCCTTTTTGGTTTGGCAGCACTGGCCTTGCAGATTAGATTGTTCAGCCATGCACACACGTTCCCTCAAAATTTGAATAATGGTGAAAAAGATCAGTTTAATTATATAAACCATTAAGTCTTTTGCCCATTATACATTGCCCCACTTGGAATCCATGTTTTCTAACTAATGGAATAGATAAGGAAATTCTCTAAGTAACCCTTCTAGAAATAACTTAATTGAAATAATTAAAAGTTAAACTTACCTTCGTTAACTGATACTGTACAAATAATCATGGTATGAGTTTTCCAATTAAACATTCTAGACTTTCATTACCTGTAACTCTCTGAAGTTTGAATGGTTCAATTAACCAGTAGCTCTTACTTGTACTGATAAAGTCTCCAAAGGCTGCTGGTGTGGCCAACCCACAAGAAGATCTGGGTTCAAGGGCAGTCCTCCTCATCTGGCGTGCATGTGGGTGACCGGATTACGAGTGCTTATTACGCTATTAATACCTTATAGAGTGCTATGTAAGAAAGTAAAATTGGGCTATTTAGGGCCAGTGATTGTCTAAAACAAGCATTCTGATTAGTCCAGTTCTGTTATACTTGAGGATGAAACACCAAAGCAAAAAAAAAGAAAAGAAATGTTGCCATGTCCATGTATTTGACTGGCAACAGGGATGCAGATTATCTCTGAATGTTTGCAATGACTAGAGAATTTGGGCAAGTTTCAAAATTTCACAATAAATAGTTTTTTACAAGCTGGAAGTTTCTGTTCATTTCTTCCCTCCTGACATTGTAACAAGCTCTAATTGAGTACCCTGGAGAATTACACTTTCAATGTTGTGGGTCTTCATTCTTCTTCTCAAAAAAACACTTCTCATCACCCAAAATCTTTCCAAGGTCTGTTTTTCTTTCCTTCCATGAGCGTTCCCCTTCGTTCTCACTATCCCTTTTCACGGTAATCACAAACATTTCTAGACGTTTGCTCTACTCAGGCACTAACTAGCTTTATGTGGCATCATTTCTAATCTCCCAACAGTTCTGCCTACTGGGCATTTTTGTTTCCATTTTAGAAATGGGAATATAGGTTCGAGAAGTTATGTAATTTCAGATTCATACAGCTTACAAGTGATTCATACACCCTTTGAGTAAGAATGTTATTTCAATTATAATTTGCTTAAAGTAGTAGGGCATATACATTAAAATATCAGTAGAACATGCAAGGTGTTCAGTGGGCTTGGGAGAGGTAGGGAGAAAGGTATACTGTGGGGGAGAGGATATGTAAAAGAAGGAAATATATAAGATGTTAATGCCGCCCATGGTCCAGCACAGAACCTGCTAGTCTGCAGTAAATTATTAAATGTCATCTTTTGAGGCCAAATTTAAACATTTCAGAACGTAGGAGACTCCATCTTTCTATCCCTGGCTTTAGTATAACTCTTTGTAGTCTTTTGCTTCTCGTTAACTATCTGCATTGAATGTATACCTTATCACATGTAGGTAAGTGAGGTTATACAAACTATGCAGTTAAGTTAGACATAGTGGGTGTATTAGTGGGTCTGCTTAGCTTCTTAGAGACCCTTAGACCTTGGATTCTGCTGTCAGGCCCTGTTGAAAGGATCTTTAGACTGAACAAGTAGGAAGCATAGGAGAATGCTTTTCTAGTAATATGATGCTCCTCATTCCAAGTAGCACCATTGCCTTGGATAATAGCTCCCAGCTCCTGGCTAAGTCCTTTCTGTTAAAAGCTACATTGAGTGTAGTGTGAAAATTTACTAGCCTTATAGTAACTTCCATAACTTGAGGAAATCTGAGGTTACTGGGCTTTCTGAATATTGTTGAGACTTCCAGTCCTAAAGGATTGAGAATCCGGTTGGGGAGTGAGGCAGATGTTAGTGTCAGAGATAGAGGTGACACCTGTTCCTGCTTCTTTTATGAGCCATGCTCTTTAAATGAAGTTATGAACACACTGGTTACTTCTGTGAAAATATCTTGAAGTGCTTCTTAGGAAGTGCTGATGGTCCTGCAAGGACCAGGCATCGAATGTGTATAACTATTGTTTTGTTCAAAAAGTTAATTTCCATTTTAAGGAAAGAAGATTTGGAGTTGTAATTTTAATGTATTTAAGAAAGAAGAGTAAAAATCTTTTATTAAGGTTTAGATATATTTTCTAGGAAAACAACATAGTACATTTGAATTTATTTGAAATATACAAAATTAAAGCAGCTGATGTGTTTTGTAATTATTAGCCACATCTTATTAAACAGCTCTATATCTTGTTGTCAGAAACAGAGGAAAAATACACGTACATCTGTGAGAGGAGAAAAAAAAAATCGAATCCATCCTTCCCCAAACAATCCATCAAAATTGATGGCCCCTTTACATCCAATTTGTAGGGCTCTCTAGTTTTCAAATGAAAGCAGTCCAGCATGGGCAGGAGGCTTTTGTGTTTTTAGCATTTGATAAAGAAGCATTTGCTGAATTAGGAAAGTACTAACCTGTAACTTGAGACATGTTAGGAAATTAATATTATTTTTCCTGGCACTGCTTTAACTTTAGAACTCAATATTAACAGATGTCAAGATTTGCAAGCAATGTGATAACATTAGTTATGTATCTGTATTTTAGTCAAAGTGACTGCTTATGGCTGTGCAAGCTAGTATTCAGACTTGACTACCCCATCTCAGAATCCTCAGCAATGTTTTTGGCATTAAAAGAGCCTTCTCCACCCATCTCCCCAGAAAACCTTAGCCATTTTCAAAGTAGTGTAAGTGAGAACAGCTATGCAATAAATAGAGTGGGAACAGATTGCAGAAATCTGAATTATGAAAGGAATCTAATCACTTTAGCTCAGCTAACTTGATTTTTATGTTTTAAGCAGAAATTGGAATTTATATGAGGTGGTGTCAGAAGCTCTTTGCATTTATAAATGCTCACTCCTGCAAGTGAAACCCTGGCTCCTAATTCCCACTCGGGGTCTTGGGAGCCACTTTTCAATCATTTCTCTCTGCTAATTTTGGTGTCACCCTCATTTCTTTTTAAACGATTCATTTTGAGCAAATTTGTAAATGGCCCTGATGTGTTCTACAATTTAGTCAATTACTGTTTCAGCCTGCAAGCCTCCTGGGGAACGGAACATACATGGCCTGAAGGTACGAATTTCAATAATTGTTTCAGTAAAGTTAGATGGATTTGTAATGCCTTGTTCCACTTATTGAAATGTCAAATAAAACTGCACTTTCTCAAGCTCTGACAAGCGATCTTTTTTTTTTAAAATGGGAAGTGGAGGGGGATTCAGCTGTAGTATTTGTTCAGTCTGTGTGTATATTTGGATTCTAGGGTTTTGATGCTGTAATTTTAATTATTTGGAATTGATTTGTTGGTCAGTTTCTTCAGGATGATCCTGGGTACTGGGCTCCGCAAAGATTTATTTTAATGAGAATACAGACTCTACTTCAGTGATTAATTAAGCACATAAGCATATTACATGTAGAATACTCCCCTCTTCTTTTGACATATTTATGCTAGAAACATATCTAGTTAATGTCTTTTCATTGTTGTCTGTATTATGAATTCTGGATTTCTATCTAGGGCTTCGCATCTGAAAGGAAAGTTGGCTTTTGTACTAGGCTCAAATATTTTATAGTTAATTACCTGACCCTCATTTTTTAGTGAGTAAGAAGCATTCTACTTTCAGTGTCCTGCTTGATTGTGGAACTGGAAGGACATGATACCTTGAGATTTACTGCTGACCCCTGGGGATATTCTTAGTCTACTTTTCAACTTATTATTTTATTTCATTTCATTTCGTTTTGTTTTTTGAGTTATAGTCTCACTCTTTGCCCAGACTGGAGTGCAGTGGCGTGATCACAGCTCATCACAGCCTCCACCTGCTGGGCTCAGGCGATCCTTCTACCTAAGCCTCTCAAATAGCTGGAACTACAAGGTATGCACTACCATACCCAGCTATTTCTTTTCTTTTCTTTTTTTTTAGTTTATTGCAGAGATGAGGTCTCGCCATATTGCGCAGACTGGTCTTGAACCCGTGGGCTCAGGTAATCTCTCGCCTTGGCTTCCCTAAATGCTGGGATTACAAGGGTGAGCCACCACACCCAGCCTTAGTCTACTTTTGACCGTATTGTTTTTATATGTGTTCTAGACAGGGAATGGAATTTCCCCCGTTTATTTCTCCTTTTCAGAAGTGTTTAAGTATTTGAATAATGACAGAAATAGAGTATTATGTAATACACGGGTTATGCGGTTCTGTAACCTATATACTGAATAGACTCCAACCTTGGGTCTGTCGAGCAACAAGCTAATTAACCTTCATAGTGAAATGAGAAATTTGTGGCAAATTATAGGTTAATTAGAACTGTGTCCTCAGAACACAAGACTGATCAAGTTCTTCTTCACTTGTAGGTGAATACCCGGGCCGGACCCTCCCAGCATGGCAGCCCAGCCATCTCAGATTCACTCCCAAGCAATAGGTGAGATGAGTATGTGGGGTGCACCTTGGCAGGATTGAGCTGGGGGGGAGGACCTTGCGGGTGATATTGCTTTCCTATGAAACCACAAACTGTGTATGTGGCTAGAAAGAAATGTGACCAGCTAGATGACCTCAGCGGCATGCGACCAGAGAGCAAGGGTCTCATCTGGAAGGAGGAAGTTAGACATGTGCAGCTGTCTGTCTTGGTCGTGGAGCGCTGCTGTGTGGTCTCCGTGGCATCTCTTTCCAGCCCGCGTGGTTGCCTGTCTCTGGCACATCGAGCTCGGCTTCCTTCCTGCTCATTCATATGGAAGAGTCGTCATCCACTGGAATCTTCACCAGAAGGAGGCAGACATGCATTAGATGGTGATGCTAACACTATGACAGTGATGCTTGCTCATCTCTTTGGTTGTTCAGGAGATTGAGGAAATTGAGGAGATTGAGGAAATTCTTTCCAGCAGGAAAAGAATTCGCATTAATTCATGCCATGTTGCCCTACACTAGCATGGATCCTCAAGATCTGAGCCTTATTGAAGTGTTCATCTTTACAGACCTGAGAACTTCCACACTGTTAAGTCTCCTAGTGGAAGGGACAACCTGCTTCAGCTGATAGAATTCCATGAATTTTGGTTCTACATTCAGTTATTCAGTCGGTGAACGTTGTGTCACTGCTCTTGAGGTGGCTGTGAAGGTCATCGTTCCATGTGTGTATCACTCACCTCAGCAATAAAGAGCCCCACCTCCCGTGTCAGGTGCTTCTGGATTTGGGGCTTCGCCTGGGACTTGTCCTGCCCTTGTAGCTCAGGCTTCTCTTTGCTTTCAGAGCCTTTTCCTTTGCTGAACTCAGTCTGGTGTCTTTGGCCGTGGGCTTCACTATAGATCACTAGTGCCTCCTCCTGCCTCTCTCTGCCCTCCCTCCTCCCCAAGGTCACTTCCCCGATGTCTTAGTTACGGTGTCAGCTGACTCAGTTATGGTGTCAGTGAGTCTACTCCACTGACGGTCATGCTATGAACATGCCTCTCTGAAAGTGTATTTCCTTCTTAAACAGTTTATTTTGCCCTAAAATGCAGTTAGCCCAGCCACTCACCTGCCTTGTGGTCACCAGAGGCAGGCGTTTTAGTTCCCAGCAAGGGCTGGGCCCCCTGGCGTATTGCGGCTTCTGTGCTTGTCAGGATGTGAGCCCTGCAGAGACCTGGGGATAGAGGGTTCCTCGCCATGGTCAGCTCTAAGGCACAGGATCTTTCATGGCTATCTGGATTTCCAAAACAGATGTTACCCATCCAGACTGATGGTGGACCTTGAAGAAGAACGTGGGTGTTCCCTGGTGTTTTAGGCCAGATTTCTTCAAAGCAAGATGGGACTGGAAAGATGGCAAGACAGACACAGGAGAACTTTTCAGTTCTCCCAGATTTGGTTTTTAACAACAGGAGTGAATTAACTTGGCTATTCAAAAGTTATCATGTGTGTTCGCAGAGTATTATAAATCCACAGGTTGGACAGAAGTTCAGAGATCATCTGTCTAGCATCAGCCTTTCATCTGTGGCAAGCTCCTTCAGGGATATGACAGCTTCCTGGATGACAGTGACAGCTTGCTCAGTTCCTGTTGTGGGAGGACTCATTTGAAAAGGTCCCATGGGTGATTTTTTTTTTTTTTTTTTTTTTGAGTTGGGGTCTCACTCTGTCACCCAGACTGGAGTGCAGTGGCTGCTCCCGGCCACCGCAGCCTTGACCTACTGGGCTCCGGCGATCCTTCCGCCTCAGCCTTCCGAGTTGCTGGAATTACAGGCGCGCGCTACCACACCTGGCTAATTTTTTGATTTATTGTAGAGATGAGGTCTCGCTGCCCAGGCAGGTCTCAAACCTGCAGGCTCAGGCAATCCACTCACCTCAGCTTCCCAAAGGCACGGGATTACAGGCTGAGCTATCGAGCCCGGCTCCATGGGTGATTTTAACGTGCCACCCATGTTGGCTACATTCTGTGCCCTGGGTTGTAACTGACAGCAAGCACTTACTGAGAGTCCCCTGTCATAAGGTACGGTCCCAGGCTCTAGGAGTACAGCATGGTCCTCACCCTCTGAACTCACCACTCAGTGGGTTACAGACAGAGACCAAGTCTAAAGTAACTGTACTTGCCATCAGCATCATGTCGAGAACAGGTGGCTGTGAGGAGAATGTGGGGAGGCACGTGGGCAGGCTTGGCCTGGGCATGCAGGGAGTGTGCCTGGGGAGAGTGGTGTTTCCATCTAGACTGGAAGCATGAGAAGGGCCTGGTTGTTCCAAGAGGCAGAGGAGGGCATTTGAGACAGAGGCACAAGCATCGGTCGAGGCTTGGGGGTGGGGCAGCAGCTCAGCGTATAGGGTACCTGCTGTATGGATAGAGCACAGGATCCTGGGCTGGGGCAGGGGCACAGAGGGAGGAAAGGAGTGCCCTGGGAGTGACACAGAAAAAAGGGTGAACAGAGTCAGCACAAAGATGGGCCCTGTTGCAGGTGCATTGTCCTCTCCGCACTGGGGAACTGCAGGCGACCCTCCCTGTAGGGGCACCTACCTCCCCGCCCTCCTCCTACCTCTAGCCCCACTCCCTGCCAAGTGGTTGTCCAGTCTCTTCTTTGTGTCCCCATGGGAAGAGGTCTGTTCCAGCTGAGGCAGCCCCCGGTGTTACCTGGCCACATCTCCCAAAGTCCTTTTCCCTGAGCTGGGCCTTGTATCTATCGGCCCTACACGTGAGGATGGGGGACAGCCCTCAGGACATGTACCCCCTTCCAGCTGATGCTCCTCAAGCTATCCTCCCTCCAGCACACGGCGAGGCTGCCTGTCCAGCAGAGCCTCCCGCACCTGCTCTGTTGACCCTGAGTTTCCTGTGGTCCTCCTCTTCTTCCTCCTCCACATCATCAGGTCCTCCCCTGTGGTTCCACCTCTGAGTAGCCCATGTCTGTCTGTATCTGCACCCTTTGCTGTGTGGGTGACCCAGGCTCTTGGGTCATCAGCTGCTGAGGGCTCCTCCTGGTCTTGCCCATTTCAGCCCCTCCTGCCATGGGCAAGATCTGCTGATGCCCGGCTCAGGGTCCTCACTCCCTACTGAGGGCCTCACTGCTCTTCCTACCTTTGGGAGACATGTGGTCCCCACTGTGGGTGCTCTATCTTTGCCAGCTTGCCAGCCAGCCACTACATACACCCCTATCATGCCAACTTTGCCAGGGAGCACGTGGTTCCCTGTGGAGACACACTCCCCTGCTGCAGGGCCTGCATGTTCTCCTGACTTCTTTTCTCCTTGTCCTCCCTGCCTCCTCCTTTGATTTGGTCAGCCTTGGTCATCTTTGAGGACTCCATTGTCTTCAGAAAACTGTCCTGATAGGACCTGCCTCCCAGGAACCCCGTCTGTGAATGCTCATGACCCCTTCCCGTAGTGGTGGACACCTTGTGCCAGGGTCACCACTGTCCCCCAGTAGAGTTTGTGCTCTTGCGGGCAGAGACTGTGATGTCTTCCTTGTCGAGGTCCCAGCCCCTGGCCTGGCACTTGGCACTCCAGGTGATGGTGCATCATGCTGGAACGAGTGGCCACACACACAGAAATCCCCCTTCAGTCTTGCCTCCGGAGTAAGTTCTCCCGGCGTGGTTGTCTTTTGTGACCTGGCATCATTTCTAGTACTCTCTCCCTGCTACTCACCTCAGAATGCCTCAGTCCCTCTTCAGGTGCCAGGTTGCAGGTCCCTCTTCAGTCCCGCTCAGGTTGCAGTTGTATCATGTTTACATTTTAAAATATTTGTAAACGTAATTTTTAGAAGCACTGTATGTCACAGTGACCTACAGATAAATGGTCACTGTGACATACAGATAAGTGAATTATTGAGTAAACTGAGTCACAAAGAAGTTGCCAGGATACACATTTTTTTTAAACTAGACTAAGTTGGTAGCCAGATATTAGCATAATGAATGAAATCACCTTTTTCCTCTGTTACTCTCAAAGCATGAGTAGTTTTTTTGCCGTAGGTGAATGACTGTTTATTACACTGAGCTTACTAATCCACATGGTGTCCTAGGCCATAATTACTGAATTCAAGTCCTACTGCCAAGGCAAGGCCTTCCTAAACAACCTGACTTTCTCATTCTGTAAAATTAGGGTGATTAAACTTCCCATCGATCTACCTCTGGTGTTGGCAAGATTGATGACGCTGTATTAAGGAATGACGTTTGTTTCTTGGATGAAAGGCATTTTGTAAATGCAATGAATCAAAATGTTATTATTTCAAGTTTATAACATAATGGAATATCTGTGGAGAAACATTGCCTGGGCTTTGTGTGGTTATTTGTGTTTTTACGATAATTGGAACTAACAAATTGGGAGTTCTTTATAGGAATACTGGGGTCTAAATGTTCCCCAGAAAAAAAGGAGGGTGTGTGTGTGTGCACACACGCACAGAACATAGCCTAACTTTGAGCAAGGTCTGTACCTTAGTTTCCTCTCTGAATTAGGGATAATAACTGTACCCCAAGGGAACCATTGTAGTGAAGATTGCATTAGAATAATAAGCACATAGCACGGTACCTGGCACATGGTGATCACCCAATAGATGGCAGCTGCTATTATTGTGTGAACTGGACTGACTTTAGGCATTTGTTTACTTTTTGGTATATATTTCAGCTTTAGTTCCATTCTACATAATTATTAACTGCCACTTCGGTGCATGGGCTCTTAGGCTTGGCGGGGTGCCATGTTAGAGCTAAAAGCCCTGGACGAGGGCGTATTTTAGGAAACCTAGGCCAGGAGGGGCAGAGGCTCTGGAGTTTGTGTTGACCACAGTGAAAGTCTAAGCTGCATCGAGAAGGAAGGGGGACTACACCTTGAAATGGCAAGTGTGGTCCCACTGAGTCTTCTCTGGTATAACTTATTGAAGGTGCCAAATGGAACGTGTGCTTGCTGTGATGTCCCTCATCCTTTTGCTTGCAGAGGTGTTCATGCTCTCCGTGTCTTGCTGCACTCCTATTTCCACAGTACAGTAACACCTAGAGCTATGGTAACCGTTTACCAGACTCTTAGCACATGCCAAGCCAAGTCCAAGGGTGAGGAGGGAGTGGAGTATGTTGAATGAGTGAGGTGTGGCCTGTGTTCTCAGGGAGCTGTCAGACTCTCCCACTGGAAGAGGCATAGGGAAAGAAAGGTCTCCAGTTGGTGGCTAGCACAGGGAAAGTGCTAGCCTAGGAGGTGGGTAGAGGGTTGAAGTGGGTAGATCGGGACTAGAAATCTTCACTCAGACGTTGCTGGGGGAAGGCACTAGTTACATGCTACTCTGTTGTGAAACTGGCAGGACTGCAGAGCTCCCGTGGCACCCTTCTTTCTTCAAGAAGGACTGTCACTAAACTCACCCACATATGTGTCAACATAGCCATATATGTCCAGAGAACATTTTAATATTTCCTAAATCATTCTGGAAGCTATGTCTCATACATATAGGCAATGAACATGGTGAAAGGCAGCTAAAATCACACCGACTACATACATGACAGAGTGCTAGGTTTTTTATAATACTTAATTTTCCTGGTTACCCTACAAGTTGATGTTTCCCCTTGTTTTCTAGAAAGAAGAAATTGAGATTGAGAGCTCAGAGAGGATGAATAACTTGTCCCAGAACACATGGCTAGTGAGTCCTAGGATTTACTTCTCAGGCAGATTTGCCTTCCAGGATGCTAAATTGTATGACACTGAGGCTGAAATGATCTATTTTATCTTTTGAAGTTCTGTACCCTTTGCTCTGAACAGTCTAAAAGTGTGTTGTTAAGTACTTTGTGCTTAGCAGAGGAGATTGTCCACATAAAGGCCACCAAAGGCAGCAGAGCCCATGCCCCCCAAAAACAAAATCAAACCAGGCACTGAAGCCGCCCATGAAACACTGCAGCTTCACGCGACTATGTTACTTAGGTGACTCCCAGGGTTTCAGTCTCTTCGTAGATACTGTTGGCGTTTGGCTGGTTACTTTTGAAAACATTTTATATCAGGAGAAGGAAGGTGTCAATGCCTATAACCAAAAGCAAAGGTGTATTTTAGTCTGGAATTTTCAGTGGTGTTGGGAGGTGTTGATGATTTTGCCACTAAAATTTGTGTCTTTCCTTTTCAGCCTGAAGAAATCTTCTGCTGAATTGAAGAAAATATTAGCCAATGGCCAGGTAGGTGTTATTACATATCAAGATTTTCACATAGTAGCAGCTTCTTACTGTCCAGTTTTTGTATCCATAAACTTATTAAACAGATAAAGAGTCCATGAATTTCTTCCTGTCATAAGTGACTAACATGGCTTAATTTGATTGGCAGAACAATTTGCAGCCCGTTTTTCAAACTGCGCTAATGGGTTTCACTCCTAGCAGATTGAAGTACTATGCACACACCCTGCTGCCATCTCAGTTTAGAAAAAGTTAATCAGTTCTGAACAAGTGTGTCAACTCACGGGCTGTGGAAACGGCCCTGCGCTCTGAGGTGATGGTTTCTTTCATTATCTTTGGGGAGAAAAGGAAAACCGTCACTGTCGTACCTTGGCTGCTTCTTTTGTCCTGCAACTAACACTGGCTTTTCAGGGCAACAGAGTGATAGCAGACCTCTGGACGATTATAATCCCTGGGCCTCAGGAGACCATGTTTTGCCCAGTCGACTGGCCATCCAAAGCTAAATGACCTAACCTAACTAGTGAGGGATTAACAGACCTGCGGGCCAGTTATTCTCACTAATTTTGATTCAAACAAATGGATACCTCTGAAATAGAATCGTGCTTTTAAACATACACTGGTCAATGCAGCTACCAATAGGGTCCTGGCTCTCCAGTAGCTGCATGAATGCATCTCGGTATTTGTTAGAGTGGAGCCCTTTGATATCCTGGGAGGCAGGCGCCTGTCCACTGCGATCAGGCCTGCCTATTAGGCTCTATTGACTGAGACATCTGTGTCACTGCAAATAAAAGACTCTTATTGATTTTCTTAACTGCTGTTCACTTCCCGTCCATGTTTCGAAGGCTGAAATCTTAATTATCTCAGATGCTTATTCAGTGCCTTCACACGCTGACCCTCCAGCCTCATTGGCATTTCATGAGTCAAGTACCTGCATGGAGCGTGTCGGGAAGACAAGGCTGGGTGCCGGTTCCTGTCCTGCAGGGTCACCTGTGACGTGGGGCCTTATTGGGTGCCTCCTTGAAGCAGGCACCGATCTCGTGCTCTGGAAACATGGCTTACTTAACACACAGTTCCTTGAACACAGTTAGAAAGCATTAAGTTGATCTGGTTCTGACATCTGATTGTCATCCAGAGTGCGTGACAAGTTTTATTCCTTCAATAGCCTCTATATGGTGGTGCAGGTGTAATCTCAGTCGTCTCAGCATTTTCAGGGCCTTTATCCAACACTTTTAACTTCAAGCAGCCAAGATTTGTTTTGATTGTGGTCCATGTCTGTAGTTCCCCAGTGCCCGAATGTGTTCATAACCAGGGTAGACAAAATCTAACTGAAAGCAGAAATACCAAGCCTAGAACATTTATGTATCTTCAGCACACTTGCATTCTAGTTACTAATTATAATTTATGTATGAGTCACTTGTGTGCTTCAGCTGGAAAATATATTTCAAAATTGACATAAATTAAGAAGTTTTAACTACATTTGTTCAACCCAGGCAATGGAAAATAACCTGTCATAGATTCCTCTTTCAAAAAATGGGAAACAGTTTATATCAACTGCAAAAAAAATAAGCTTTCTGAAACGTCCCTAATGTCTTGACAACAAACCTGTCATAAATATCTGAGTGGTCTCAGTTATGAGGTTCTCTGTGGTGGGAGAATGTCATGGCAATGATTTTTGACACTTAAAGATTGTTTATTGCTTTCCCTTGGGGATGTGTTAACCCCACATTAAACAGTGTGGCATTTTTTTTCTTTTAAGGATTAGCCTTTCTTATATTTATTCTCATGCAAAAAAAAAAAAAAAAACAAAAACAAAAAACCAAAAACCCACCTTTGGAAACTTTCAAAATACTCCTTTATGTGATGAATTCCTCAGCTCCTTGGTGCCATAGGACTCCGGACAGGGCGTGAGCAGGGACCGTGCACAGTGTGGGCAGGGGTACATTTCTTGGCTGAACACTGACCTCTGCTATGGAGGATGTAAGTCACATTTAACGATACTTTAACACTTGAGTGTAGTTTTTTATTTCAATGGTTTATGCTCTCAAGCATTAATAATGATTTGCCTTTCCACTAGCCTCCACTTAGATTTAATAAGGAATTCATATTAATCATTAAAAGAAAGGAACATGATTCTTCAAGATAATCAAATATTGACAGGTTAGAAATAGCTTTCTGCCTGGGTTCATTGATATAGGTTATGTGATATAAATATTTATTTCTTTTCTGTCACTCAGAGTAAATGCCACCAATTGATTCAGCATTGATATAGTGTCAACAGTTCATAAGAAACATTTGACTGGCTTGTGTTTTCCGATTAGTCTGTGCTCTATAAAGTGGGATTTACTAAATCTCTCCAATTGTCTGCTCATAGAGTGTGACTGCTTTCTGAACCCATTATTGCTTCGATTTGTGAAGCAGAGGTCTAGTGATAGACCTAGTTTCTGTCAGACCTTTACATATAAAATAAGGATTAATTGAGCATTTGTATTTTAATGATTTATAAGCGATAGGTACTGATTCTTCTTAACATAGGCAGACAATAAACAAAGAATGTTTTTTTGCTGATCCGTAATTGAATTCCATTTCACTTTTCCCCATTAATTTCATTAATATATTAAACCAAGCACTTTTTAAAAGGTATATCATTTAGTCTTTGGAATGAAGACATTGTTTTCCTGTTATTGCTTTATGATAGCGGATTTCATTTTTCCAGCTTAAAAAAATAAATCCTAGGGTGTTTTTGTCATGTTTTGTTGAACGTTGTAAGTCGGTCTCACTGCCGTGTCTCCTGGCTGTGCTGCTCTTCCTTCAGTTCTAGTGTGGCATCGTCTGTGTAACACTGGCCCTAGATTGGACACTGATTAGAAATAGCCCAAAGGGCCAATTTAAAGAATTGCAGAAGTGCACAGTTACTCCAAGGCTATGTGACTTTGATGTTTGTATCTCTACAGTTGTTTTTTCTTTTTGTTTTTTTATTTTGTAGGAGAAGGTGCCAGTATTTTTCTATTCCTGATAAATCAAGTGTACACGTACTGAGAAGTCAGATCTAGAACTGATTTCGGTCCAGTTGCATCTTTGGTTGTTATTTTGAGACCCTTAGGTGCCTTTAGAAAACTTTTTTGTGTTTAGAAAAAAATGGGGGAGGGGAATAGGTATCTACTATAAAATTAGCTGTAAAAACTCTGTTATAACCAGTATAAAACTCTTAGGTTCCTAAGTTCATCCTGAGTCCTATCTGAAGCCTGAACCATGAATGAGGCTGTGTGCCTAAGTCCAAACCACAAGTCACCCTCTTCCCCCACAGCACCTCCTGGCTCCCGCTGGGCAGCTATCTGTCTGTGGTGGCCCAGCCTCTTTGAGTAGGATCGGACTTTGTGCCAGTCCTTTCTCTGAGGTCACCTGCTATTTTGGCAATTGACATATCATTGTAACTCTGTAGCTTTCCTACTCCTCTCTCACATCTGTTATTCTGCCTTTTATTTACTCTTTTAGACAAAATAAGGACACTGAACAATACTTTAAAACTATTTGGGATTTTTATTGAATAAAAACTTCACCTATGTTCAATTTGAAGAGCAGTGTGATTTTTAAAACTTTTCTTCAAAACAAGCATTATAGCTGATGAAATTGCTTTTGCCTTGGGAGTGTCTGTCAGTTGGGTGTTTACATTCCTGTGGGCCAGGGCTGTTGATGGAGAGGTTGTCTCCATACTTCCACCTTCTTATATAATGAGCAGTGTTTCTGTGCTGCATTTTGAAAAGTTGGATTAATACCCCTAATCTAAACAAAAAAGGAAGAAATGTTAGTTGTTTGATTCCGTTGTTGATTTTTTTCATAGTTGAGATCAACTAGAGGCTGGACATGGTGCTTTACTCCTATAATCCCAGCACTTTTGGGAGGCTGAGGCAGGAGGATTGCTTGAGCCCAGAAGTTCAAGACTATCCTGGGCAACATAGCAATACCCCATCTTTACAAAAAAAATTTAAAAAGTTAGCCAGGTGTGATGGTACATGCCTGTAGTCCCAGCTACTTGAGAGACTGTCCCAGCTACTTGAGAGGCTGAGGAGGGGTGATCTTCTGAAACCAGAAGGTTGAGACTACAGTGAGCTTTGATCATTCCACTGCACTCCAGTCTGGGTGACAGAGTAAGACTCTAACTTAAAAAAAAAAAATATATATATATATATATATATTTTTTTTTCATATTTCTAAACCCATTTTGTTTAGAAATATGAAATTCAACAAATGTTATCAGTTCATGAACTCCACCCTAATAGTTTTCCTTTTTAAAGCTTTTTAAAAAACATGAATATTTGTATAGACTATATAAACATCAGAAAATTCAAATAAACAAAAAAATCTGATTTTTTTTTAATATTAAAAAACTAACAATCAGTTCATAAACCAAAGACTGTATAACTTTAAGACACTATAAGAAAAACATTTTAGGAAACACTGTAATTAATTTTTGCTGGGTACTGTCTTTTTAAGTGACATGGTTCTAGAACCTGTTCTTCTGAACCATTTTATCTCTGTAAGACTCTTGAAGTTTTCTTGTTATCTGAGGGATTCCATATTAGCCTTGATGTTTTCCATCCTTGAATTTGCTTACTCAGTGCTTGGTGCACATGTGTGTGCACTTGTAGCCAGCCACCCTCTCCCTCCTCCCTCTCCCTCCTCCCTCTCCCTGCTGCACATGCCCCCAGCCTGTGCCCTGACCTGAGAGACACCCACTGCTGCTTGTTGGGTTGGATGTGTGGAGTGTTGCGTGGGTGGCTGCTGAGCTTCCTAGTGGGCCCTTGTGATGGCAGGACTTTAGCGCCAGGGTTACAGTGGTTGAGCGTGCTCAGAGAATCAAGCCTCTGGCCTGTGGAGAAGGGAGAAGATGCCACCGTGGACTGCAGCTCTGCAGAGCCAGACCTTGCGACACAGAGCTACGTCCTGCTCGCCCCAGACCCAGGCCACAGATTCGGAATGTGTGCAGTTGAGTCCCCGAGACAGATTTCAGGCCATGATGAGAGTGCTGCTTGTCAGGCAAGTTAGGGGCCCACTTTATGTTGTTAAGAGACACACTGATCACCTAGAGAAATGTTTGGAGGGACCTGGCCTGGCAGCTTGCTTGCACCTGCCGCTAGCCGCCGCTGTTTATGGATCCGCCACTGATCGCAGTCAACCTCAGAGCAGCTCTACAAGCCAGCGTCTCAGGGCAGCTGATGTGCTGCTTTTCTTCATGCTGCTTTCGGCATATCATTTAGTCGAGCATACTGAGATTTCCTATTATTTGTCTCTGAAACAGCTTAAAATATTTTTCTGTACTAGTAATATAATGCTGGTGGAGAATGAAACTCCCCTCCAATAGGAAAATAGTAGCCCATTTTTCTGACTTGTCTGTCATTTCCTCACTGACCCTAAATATAGTAATTAGCTGATTGTAAATTTCATAGTTCTGATTGTACTACAATTAAATTGGGTGCTGAATTGGCCTTTACACATCAATCTGTCAATATTCTTTTAGGGACTGGCAAAGCAGCTTGGAAGGGAGGCTGTTTCTGTTACCTGCACTGTTCTCCTAATTATCACAGCTCTCTGAAGCTTCAACTTCAGAAATGTGCAGAAGGAAAATATTTCCCTTGATAAATGGTGGCTTGCTTTATTCAATTGGTGTAAGTTTAAAGCCGAGCAAAATATTTAAAGCTTTACTATAGTGATCTGAGAGCAAACTATTTTCTTTTTGGCAAATGATATTGAATTAAAAACTCCATCCATTTTCTGCCCATGCAAGTCAGTGCAATTTCCTAGAAATTGATTTTTTTTTTTCAGGGCTTACTATGGCTTTTCCCAAGCTTTAGCTATATGGAAAGTAACACTTCTATTAAATCCACTTTGTGAATAAAGTTGGCAGTTAATTTTTAAGCAACTGGACCGGTGTGTAGAAAATTACTGAACATATCAAATAAAGTCTGACCCATCTTAAAGTCATCTGATGAACAATATTTTAGAGAGTCCTCTAAAATTCTTAAACATTATTTTATGGGCATTAACATAATTCACCTACTATTCATGATACAAATTAGAGTAACATTTGTAGCATAATAGGTTTTTAGAACCTTGGAAAATGTGCAGACTGTTTTATATATTAACCTGTGAAAATAACTTTATCTTATAAAAATTAATTGCCTAGACTGTATGCTTTTATGCATTATAATATGTGACGAAATGTGCATCCTAGAGTACATTGATTGTGTTCCTTTCTATCTTTACCATGTGATTTCCACCCAGTTTTTTGTATACTGCTTATCATTTGCAAAAAGAAAGCTGAATCTACCCAAGGAAAATCATAGACATTATTCAGTTAGTTTGTTAAATGTTAATTACAGGATGACTGGAGGCGTTCCCAGGACTGATTTATGTACAGATCATGCATTAGATTGCTGGATGTGCATCTGTGTGTGTGCTGTCTTTCTAAGTTTGACTTTGGCATTGGTTATATGCAGTACTGGGGACTGTTTTCTTACCAGTATCTCTGACCTGACCCTTTTGAGCTATGTTATATCATTCCATTTTGACACCTTTTATCAAACTTTAATGAAATGACCCAGGCAAACAAATTGTCATTAAACTTTCCATCACTTTGTCCCTTGGTATCGTCTTTTATAAATTGGACAGCAAATGTTGTATTGATCTTCTCGTTCTTGCAGCTGAACTTGAAATGACCCAGACTGCTTGTTGTTTATGGCCCAGAGTTGCTTTTCCTTGACATTTCTATCCACAGCATGACACCCTTTTTGTTTTTCTTTCTTTCTTGTGGAGATGAATGAACAAGACATCCGGTATCGAGACACCCTTGGCCATGGCAATGGAGGCACAGTGTACAAGTGAGTAGTCAATTTTGTTTAACTTTCAATTTTTCCAAATATTGAGTATCCAAGTTCTCTGTGGCAAAGATTTTTAAAGGATCACCAGCACTTAGATTTTATTTCCACATTTGACTCCAAAATTCTGCAAGGGATCTGTTTTCTCAAGAATTGCCTGAAAAGTGCATTTATATTGCCTTTTTAATATTTCTTGAGTCTGCATCTCTCCTGGGTATGTGGCTAATAGTCCACCATTAGCAAGTGTACCTTTAACTGTCCTGAACTTTCTTGTAGTTTTTATCTTTGCTCTCTAACGTGATTATTTCTTTTAACTTGCCAGCCCCCTGTGCTTGTCCCCTGTGTGTTACGGTTGTGCCAGTGGAGGCAGGCCTTATAAACCCACTGCTCTGCCCTGTGTCGACACTGTAAGTTATTAGCAAGCCTTCCTCCTGTGGTGTTCCTGCTCTCCCGCTCACCCTCCACCCCCGAGAGAATGTCTACACATTGATGGATATGTTCAGTTAGAAAGTTCTTCCAAACTCCAGTTGTAGTGATCTTACCCTGAAGGAGTGTTCATTTTCATATTAAAAAATGCTAGCCGTAAAAAATAGTTCTTTCGACCAGGGAGGTCTTTCTCATGCAGTAGTGCAAAGTTTAAACTACATAATGTAATATCTGGTACTTAATAGTCTGCAATGGTGTATGAAAAATATTCCACTAGGAATTAAAAAATCCATACTCTGTAAAAAAGCCCCGAGGGAGTAAGAGAGCTTTTCTCCAGAGAGCTGCTTTCCATATATGCACCAACCCCACATCAGTGATGATTGCATTTCCACCTTAGGTATTTTAATGTTAATATTCATATGTGTTTTCAGAGTTGTAAAATAATTAATTTACTTCCTAATTGGTTACTCATGTCTTTAGAATTGTAAGATCTGGCCGACCCCATGAATACAGATCGCACTTGCCCTGTGATCATGCAGGCCCACATCCCAAATCCTAGACCGTCCCCCACACATTGATGCTGCTATGGCATAGAAGTAGATGTCTCAGGCTGGAAGCCCCTGGGAGCCATCTGGGCTTAGTACCCCCACAGATATAGCCAGAATGTGAGTCTTCTCTCCCCATGTCTGAGCCTGATGTGTTTGATGCATTTTGAGACTGCTGTTCTTCCCTTTATCATGCTAGCATTCCTTCCGTGCAACCTCCAGTGCTGCATATGTGGGATCTTTTCCTCTTTCTCTCCTTACTCCTTTTTTTGCCCAGGCTGGAGTACAGTGACATGATCATAGCTCGCTGCGGCCTCAAGCTCCTGGGCTCAAGCTATCCTCCCTCCTCAGCCTCCCAAGTAGCTGGGACTACAGTGCCACCATTCTTAGCTAATTTTTTTTTTATTTTCGTAGAGACAAAGTCTTGCTATGTTGCCCAGGCTGGTTTTGAATTCCTAGGCTCAAGTGGTCCTTCTACCTCAGCCTTCCAGAATGCTGGGATTATAGGCATGAATCACCTTCCCCAGCTTTCTCATCCTACTTTTATCTGACTTATATTTTTTTCCCTTGTTCTGAAAGTTCTTCAGTTCAGGTTCCTATAGAAATGAAAGAAGATGAAGGAACTTGGGCACTCCAATCTGCTTCTGTTGAGTTCCCTGGAAGGAGCAGTTTTTAAAATCTCAGCCTTTCTTTTTAATGCTTTTATGCTGATGGCCAAATATAATAAAAGAGGAAGGATTTCTGAAACTCTTTGGATTCCTTTTATTGACTTCATGGAATCCGAAAACATTTCTTTAGACTCCTAACCAACTTATCTGTGTTATTTCACCAGATGTTTAGCTTTGTATCTCTTCATTGAAGGCCTATTGTGAATTTACATTCTTTGTTTATTCTAGAAGGGAAGAAACATAAGACCATCAAACGCAGCAGAATTTTTATTAGACAATATCCTAGGTGTTAAAATTTTAGTTCCTTATTTTTAAAAAATAGGTTTATTTTTAAAGGGGGACATACAGGAAAGTGGAAATAACGTGCCCTTTCCCCAGAAAGAATTACAACATGGGCCGGGCTCGATGGCTCAGCCTATAATCCCAGCACTTTGGGAAGTCGAGATGAGTAGATTGCCTGAGCCCACAGATTCAAGACAAGCCTGGGCAACTTGGCGAGACCTCGTCTCTACAATAAATAAAAAATTAGCCCAGCGTGGTAGCGTGCACCTGTAGTTCTGGCTACTTGGAAGACTGAGGCAGAGGGATCGCTGGAACCCAGCAGGTCAACGCTGGGATGGCTGTGAGTGTGCCACTGCACTCCAACCTGGGCAACAGAGTGAGACTCCAATTCAAAAAAAAAAATTACAGCATGAAACTGTGTTAATGTTTCTCTTTAAATTATTATTTTTAATTGTGGTGACGTATATATGAGAACTGTTGCCATTTTAACCATTTTAAGTGCACAGTTCAGTGGCATTAAGCACACTGTCTTAGTTGTGCCACTGTCACCATCCGTCCGCAGAACTCCTATCATCGAGTATGACTGAACTACTGTGCCATCACGAAGCAACGTCCTGCCCACTCTGTTATGGTGGTTTCAGCTAAGCAGCATGACTGAACTCCTTTCAGAAGGACCATGGTGTCCCCAGGAGCACCCTCCCATGCGTCCTTAGCACAAGGCATTTGCTAGGATACTGTGGTGATGTCATCAGCTGCCGAGGCTCAGTGTGAGCACTTGTAAGACTGAGTGTTTCTGACAGTGATTCCTTATGGAGGAAGAATGGCGATATCAGATCATTTTACTACTTTATTTGATAGCAGATTTCTTATAAAAAGAAGACATCTGGCCGGGCTTGGTGACTCAGCCTGTAATCCCATACCTTTGGGAGGCTGAGGTGAGTGGATTGCCTGAGCCTGCAGGTTCGAGACCCGCCTGGGCAGCAAGACCTCATCTCTACAATAAATCAAAAATCAGCCGGGCGTGGTAGCGCACGCCTGTAATTCCAGCTACTCGGAAGGCTGAGGTGGAAGGATGGA